TTTTTGTGTCTAGTTGTTATTTTGTGTTTTTCATAGTTTTGTTGTTTTGCTTTGTTTTGTTTGCTTTTTTTTCTTTTTGTTGTTGTTGTTGTTTTTCTCTTTTTGATTCGTGTGTTTGTTTTTTGCTCATATTTCAGTGAACTGTTACCGCGAACGTATAGTTGTATGAGGTACAACTATGTTTTTTGGGCGGTTTCAATCCATCAAAATATTTTTGTACGCGTGTGATTGGTTTAAACGTTTTACGTAGGGGAGTATCCGTTAGCTAATTCTGAGGAAAAGTCCGCGGGTGATTTTCCATAATTTTCAAACCCTTTGTTTTGTGCAATGGAAGTCTTTCTTCAAAAGCTGATTGAAGTTGGCAAGCGTTTTGCTGTTGTTACAGTAGAAGAAAAAAAACGTGTTGTGAGAAGTCCATCTGAATAGGCTAGTATCTGTTCTCTACGATACGCTTTTGCAAACCTTTTGTCCTTTTAAACATTGGAAAAAATATTGGACGGATAGTAAATATAGTAGGCACCGTTGGTTTTAAAATGTGCTCGCTTTTCCGTCTTCGGACATTTACTGTACCTCAAAGTTCACAGTCGACCTTAAGCTTCGAACTCGGGAAATTTTCGCTCCTTTGAAAAAATTGTGTCTGCGGACAAATTCCCGAGCATATTATGGTGGCAGGTGGAGGCTGTTGTTTAGTCAGCTTATCGCATTTCCCTCAGCTGAGTTAAATTCAACGACAGGGCATCACCTTCGTCATCATTAATAATTCGAACTTCAGTTAAATAAGTATATGACAACTGAATTTTCAGGAAATGAGGCTTTTTTAAACAGTTAACAACAGTAACTGTAATATACTCTGTCAATATTTTGTAAGAAGAAGGCAAGCACGCTCGTGACACTGTTTTCTCTTTTCAGGCATGTGTTTGATGATGGAACAGACGAGTACAAGATTATTATGCTCAACAAAAGATACTTGAGTTTCAGAGTGATTAAAGTGAGTACTGGAGTGATTCTTCTTCTTCAATGTAACATCATCGTCATCAGTCTTCTTCGTGCTCTGTTGCGCATAAGGCCTTGATAATTCTCTTCCATCGGTCCCGGTCTCTTGCAATAATCCTCGCTTTTTCCCACGACTTCCAACCGAATCCGTCCATCTGCGTTCGCTGATGCCCAGGATGTCTACGTTGTATTCTCTCATCACGTGCACAATCTGTGCAGCTTTTCCAACAGCATACATCGTTTGTACATTCCAGTTTCCTATGGTAACAAATTTCTTGGGTTTCAGAAGTAACTCTGTCGATCGGGGGGCTTCCTCTGTAGAGCTTTCACCCTCCAATGTTCATCCGGCGCTGGTAGTCCGTAAACAACAGATCACTGTCGTGGGGCACCTGGTCAGTCTCTTCATTCTGCCCTTTCTGCCCTTGCATTCTTTGAAAAGTATTACCTGTTTCAGTAATAATATTTTTTTTTACGGGGAAGGGATATTAGCCCTTCGCCCAACCCCCAACCTGGAGGGCCAGGTGTTCCAATTAGTCAGGCCTCTCACTTGGAACTTGCCCAACGTGGTTGAACCTACCAGTGACCAAAGTCACCGCTGGTATAACCTCTAAGATCATTAAGACACGCAGACCTCCCCACCACTATTAGGCGCAACACTTAGTGATTCTTCTTCTTCAGTGTAACAGCAGGAATGGAAACTGTAACCATCATTCTATGATTAAAGAGTTCAGATTTTGATGCTAAATGGATCAGGTGAAAACGGAAATTGCTAAAAACGAAGTACAACAATGATAGATTTCGATTTGTATTTCGGAAATTGTCAAAACACAGCGGATATTTTGGTTCATTTTTTAGCGTAATTTTATTACAAAGAGAGTCATTGCTAATACACCTTACTTAAAGCACTGCCTAACCCTCTACATCATAACATCAGTATGCATATTCTCCATACTGTTCTCTATACACTTCCTGAGGTGTTGACAAGGAGAATTTGTTTAACAATCTAGTGCTTCATCAGTTGGTGATCATTTCCTTTAATTTAGGGACCTTGGAGGATGGTATTGTTCGGAGAAATTGGATGTTGATGACTCTAAGAGGTCAAAAGATTGAATGCTATTTTTTTTCCCTTTCCTTGTAGGTCAATCGCGAATGTGTTCGAGGTTTATGGGCGGGACAACTTCAAGAACTGATCTTCCTCAGGAATCGGAACCCAGAGCGTGGCTCAATTCAGAACGCTAAACAAGCGCTGAGGAACATTATTAATTCAGTTTGTGATCAGCCGATAGGATATCCAATATATGTGTCTCCACTAACAACATCATATGCGGACTCAAACCCACAACTGGGTAAAGTTATTGGAGGTCCTTTGAGTTTCAATGGAATTGCTGGTTGTCTCGGCCGTCTGTGGCATCGTATACGCATGCGTTGTGGTGCCACCTGTCAAAGCGGTGGAGACATAACTAGAGGCAATGTGCCGGAAGTTTCTACTGGGCCGAGTTTTACGGAACGTTGTACAAGCTTCCGTGAGGGCCCCGTTTACGTGAGCACCCGAGGATCGACGCCAAGTTCCTCATTTAATAGGGGCCAACAGGGGTTCCGAACGAGTCAAAGATCTACGGCGAGCTCGGGCTCTAAGAGACCTAGTACATTATCTGTAAGCATAGCTCAGCACCAAACGCCTCAACTCCAGAGTCCTGGGGCTGCAGCCGCGGAGAGCGTGACTCAACGTGTGCGGATTATTGACCGTGGGCAGGTTTATGATAGTATCAACCTTGGACGGAGAATTGATGTTCAGTGGCCTTCAGAACTTATGAGGGAACGCGGAGGAAGATCTTATTGGAAGGACTGGAACCCAGTGGAAGGTGCTGAGGGGATTGTGGTACATCGATGGACACCGTGTCACAGGGACCCTGCTCGAAGGAGCCATGTTGATCGGCCTATTTTGCTGGTTCAGATTGATGACAAGTTTGTACCTATAGCTGAAGCGGGAGTCGTGGACGCTGGAATAGAAGTATAAATCATAACTGGAATTTGTACTAGGTCAGTTCATAGGGAAACAGACTTGTTCAAGTCCCTCTTTCGTAGCAGTATAGATTTACGCGGCACGATGGTTGTTACCACCATGGTCTGCGATCAAGTCACATCACCAACTCAACTATGACACAATTCGTGTTGTATGACTTGTAGTAAGGGCAAACTGGTAACACAGACTTAAAGAACAGAAAAAAAATAACTGTAGCATTTTGTTCAACCATAAGCAACGTAGAATGATAAAAGCGACGATTTATGGACGACGATAGCAACATGAACAACATTCGTGTTGAAGAATTATATGTTAACTATTCTAAACTTAGAAGGATGTTTTTACTTACTTTTCTATTGGTATCAGAGTATTAAGCGATTATTCAGCGAATTGGAGGTAAATATCCTCCTCTGTCACCGACACTGAGATGGGGGGTAGGGGGAGGGGGGGGAAGAGGGAAGGGGCAAAGGGCAAAGTGCCAATTTTTTTCTTACCAATGACCCCATCCAACCCAATTTAAAATGACAGTCCGTAGCAAGACCCCTTCAGTGATGGGAAGCAAGTTTGTCCTCTTGAAATGCCTATCGAAACCAAGAAAGCTATAACAAGTCAACAGATAGATTATAGGACACTTGTATTAACCGCGGCTTATGGAAGTTTTGCTCCATTGCCAACTAGTTCTTCCCCAAACACGTACCTTTACGAGTTCGTCTCCCCTTCCCCCGAAGTAAAACAAGTTCACCCCCTCTTAACTGACTTACGACTCCTGTACGAGTCATGCAAAGCCGCAAAATTACTCCATCTTGAGCAAACTGATTTGACACTATTTCATGTTCGCTGCAAGTCCACAGGACTACTTTTCAGAAACTAAGGGAATGACCGACTTACGGATTTCGTACAATAATATTCGCTTGTCGCTGGGCTGTTACAAAGTGACTTGAGTGCTTTCGTTTTCAAGTGTTTGACCAAGGAAAAAATTGCATTTTGACCAAAGCATTCGAACCATGTTTCAGGAGCGAATTCGACGAAATTATAAGGAGGCTGGGTTACCGTAAAGACGACCGAGCGTCATTCCTTCGAAATTAATCGGGCGTTTCGATACTAGTCGTTTTGATTCATGAATAAAGTCAAGTCGACACTCTACAGTCAGTTTATCGATATCCTGGGACACTTTATTTAATGGAGCAAAAGCATCACTGACTGTGGCTAGAAAACTAATGAAAAGTGATCTGGACAGCAGACTGGGGCAACGAACGTAACCATTTATGAAGAGTAGTAACAAGAAGAAGAGAAACGAAAAGTCCGAGAAGTTACCGCCAGGAATGTCATGGATAGCTTTAAAAGGTTACGTTTAGGGAATTTAAAGAGCAATAAATGAGAAGAATCGAGTAAGTTACTTAGCTTTGAAAAAGGTACTCCTAAGAGAAAGTAATCAAACAACCTTAATTTCTCTTGGTACTCCGTAGCTGATGTGCTTAACGATACGAGATGGACGATTGTTTGGTTACATGTTACAAGCTAAATTATTTCATCCTTTAAGAATTTCAAACAAGCGTACACTTTTTTTTCTGCAACGTCTCGCCGCAACGCCACGGTGATCTTTTTTCTCGAATGAATAGACTTTTATTCGTTCTTCCTGTAAGACCCTGTCACTTACTTTGGGAGTGAAGGCCTGGTAATATAACATGACTCCTGGTGAGTCATGATATATTTTTTTTAATTAATAACCAAAGTTTATTGATCTATTGACAGGAATACTACTAAAAACTAATATTACTAGTATTAAAATAACAATTAAGCAAATCGGGCTATTTACAATTCAGTAAAAAGGTTAGTACGTAATTTAAACTAAAAATAAAACTAGAAGTAATCTTGTGCTTATATTCATGTAAAATTTACGATAAGGCGAGTGAACCATTTACTAAAACAAGAACAAGTTATGTTACACGACATTTTTTTTTATCCCAAGGAGACCACTGCTGCAGGTATAGCGCGGGCTCCACGTATGAACAAAATGGCGGCATAACAAGTTAATATGACAATAATAAAGAGTCGGTGAGGCTGAAAGTTTTTCGGTGCCTTTGACGATAGTCCCTCATGGCTGAAGTGCCGTTTCTTCGTGAAATTTACTAGTGAAGCAATTTCCTTTGTTAAAATGTTCTCAAAGTATTCTGAGTATTCATCAAATCGAGTGACTGGTGCAGAAGTCATTGCACATAGAGCTTTCTTTTTGAGCTTCATCGTCACCTTAACAGCTCACGACTGTCACCGTAACCTGGAACCCATGTGGCAGTCAGATGTTGGATCATCTCCTGTCGTATCAAGCGCTCTTGTGGCGGATGTAAATGGCGACAACGTTAAAGATGTCCTAGCCACTTCCTTGAGTGGTCAGGTATCAGTTGTTGATGGACGGTCAGGTCTTAACTTAGCTGGCTGGCCAGTAACTTTGCCTGGAAAAATTTTATTCGCTGCACCACTACTGGTATGTGGAACCTTTTGTGTGGTTTCTGTGAAAGGCTTAGAAAGAGTAATAGTTTTATCGTAATTTTCAGTCAAACCCTTCAACTACCATGGCCTGATTGTTAATTCTCCCCTCTGGCTGCTATACATTTCCTCTTTTAAAGAAATGCAATTACTTAGTGTTCGATCAAGATAACAACCTCTACTAAATGGAAGTTAATGCGTGACATGACACTTACGTATTCGCGGATAGGTAAAAATTGAAATAGGAGACGCGATGATTAGAGTGATCGGTTTTCTTGAGAGAGTGTTGGAAGTTGTGACGTGATGAATGTTGCTGAAAAACTAGGATTTGACGATTGAGAGTAGAGTGTACCCCACAACTTCAGTACACTACCAGATAAGTCTGACTATTCTCATTAGCTGTCTGCTGGATAATGTGTTGGGTAGAGTGGGGAGAAGTTACATGATAATCACTAATGTTACAACTCTGCTTGAACACAATACAAAAAGGTCTGGGGCATTTATTTTGGTTTATACATTCACTGTTTATTCATTTTTAGTTCTTTATACTTATCTCTGATACAGTTGAGACATTTGTTTTTATGAGTAATGACTGATCATGTTATTCTTGTTTCAGTTTGATTATGACAATGATGGGATGAATGAGTTGGTTTTGGTTACAGCAGATGGTGTTGTGTCCTTTGTAAAGAATGATGGTTCCTTTCTAGAGGGAGAGACATTTAAGGTATTGAAAGTTGCTCTTTTTTAATTATTCTTTTCCAAAAATTCAAAGTTTTTCCTTTTAAAGGATCACTGTGGGCCCTATGGGGCACTTGTCTCAGAATTCTGGGTTGTCCTCATCTTTAAAGCTTTCCTAGAAGCAAACTAACTTAAGGTACATTGAAGCACTGACACTGCCTGTGCAAGCAAAGTACAAATTTTCTCAAACTAAGTGTTATAGACATGAATTATCATGTGATTGAATTCTGTTTTTAGTATCAGAAAAGCTAAAAAGAGGCTTGCCTTGAACTCGAGTCATGTTCAGAATGAAAATATTTTCATACATGTAAGTGGCTTCTGTGTCATGCGCTTTGTCTTTGTCTAGTGTTTTGCTTCCTTCAAACTGCAATTGAGATCTTCGAAAAGCTCTTCAAGTATCTTGATCCTCAATTTTCGATACTGGATTCTCAATAGTTTGTGTATCAATGATTGAGTTTCAAGTCAAGACTGTTGACTTACGTTTGAGTGGTACTGTACATGCACATGTAAATAAACACTTTGCTTCCAACTTCCACTCAATTTTCAAAGTTAACATATCAAATAACTTACAAAAAAATAACATGACCTTACAGCCAGTGGGTACAGGTATAGATAAACAATCGCCTCCATTTGGTGCAAATGTGTCCACCGACACTATCTGTTCCAAGCTGCAAACGGTTTTCCGAGAGTGAAGCTCAAGGAAAACTATGAGGCTCAAGGAACAGATAATGTCCAAGGACAAATATACAATCACATTTTTTGCACCAAATAGAGGTTATTGTGTTTATCATCCTTCACACATATTTGCAAGAAGTAGGAAAAATATTTATGGAAAACTACCTGTTCACTTTTCAATGTTCATTGGTACCACTTTATGAACAAATGAATGTGTCTCTTCCTATGTAATAATTGCATCTTGGGTTTAATTTTAAACGAAGGCTTAACATAGTAGACGTAAGGTTTGAAAGTATGGGAATATCACTTGGGGATATATCCTCAGATATTCTGTAGTTTTAGCTGGGGCATATTTGGTCATGTGATGTGTTGAACAAAAATATTTGATGGATTATAATCACTCTTATCTTGATATTCATGATGTCTTTTTAGGTTCCACCTCTGGTGATGAAGAGAGATTGGTTTGTGGTAGATCCTGAACAGATTACCAACAGTGACTATATCAGTTCTGTTTCAAATCCTGCAAAGTCAGCTAGACTTGCTTCCATATCAGAATTTATCCTTGATGATCTAAAGGTTAGTTAAGAAAAAAATAATTGCTTAGCCAAGGCTTCTATATCATAAATTATTATATGGCTGTGTCTCACAAGGACTGGGAACTACCGAATTCACAAATTTGATTGGCTGAAATCAATATTGAAAGTGGTCTAGATTTTCCCATCAAGACTGGTCTAGAAAAAAAAGGTACAAAGAATATAAAAAATTGGCATATAAGACAGCCATATAATAAACATCTTATTAACTGAGCTAGGTCGGTCTGGTCTGTATGGGAGAATCTTGACCTTGGTTGCTAGTACGGACCTCACTACGTTCGGTCTGTGCTGGCGACCTCGGTCAAGGTTCTCCCATACAGACCTCCCGCTCGGTTGAAAAGAACTAATTTATGATTAATGTGAACACTGAGCTTGGTAAGTTTAGAAAGCGTATGGTTGTGATGTAGAGTACATTGAGCAAATACACTTGTCTATTTAATAGTTAAAAATTGCTTGATAAAGTAAAATTGATTATTGTTGAATAACCCTTGCATATCCACTGAGCCTGAGACAAATAATTGTATTAGTGTGTGACTGTTCAGGTGATTATCAGTGAGAGAATAAAACATAATTTATTAAATTTGTTTTGTTATTGAAGCCATTCTGTAAAAATGGAAAGCATAGAGCATGCAAATGTATTTGTTACAATCATTTTGGTTTTTCATATCACAATAAGCAACCAGTTTCCAATAGAATTTGTCATGTCTTTTTTGATAGGTTTTGCAAAAACTTCACATCTTACCTTTGAAGAGAGTTAGGCAAAATTATCTCTTGTGCTTTTTGGAATTTAAAGGCCCATTTCCATCCGAGATCCTTTGCAGTGTTTGTTTTTGTTTTGGAATCGCGCTATTGTAAATGGCAAACTCTGATAGTCATTCACAAACACTATTAAAAAGAAAAACAAAGATTTGGTGAAGAACACAGTAAACAAATCTGCAACTAAATATTTGAGACTGAAAAATCATAAATCGAGTCTGTGTATAAAACTTGTACAAAGCCGAATAATGTTTGCACACCCTTTAAGAACTACTTCGAAAGACTGGTTCATTCTAAGGCCACTAGGAATAACGGTATATCAGTGAAATTACCCAAAGTACGTTTAGAATTTGGTAAAAAGAGCTTCTATTACCAAGGAGCAAAGACTTTCAACAACCTGCCTGCTGAACTAAGGTCGTTAGATTCGAGACTGAAATTTAAGAACAAATTGCGAGATTATTTTAGTTAAAAAAATTCGATCTAAACGTGGTTATAGGTATCCTTTTTCAGAGCATTTTATTTTATTCTATGCTTTTCTAGACCTTAAGATCAATGATTATATCCTGTTAAGTTTTATTTTATTTATTTATTTATTATTTTGACAGGACCCCAAGGACAACAGTGTTACACACTGATGGGTTTTCAATCCTGTATAAAAATTCGTTATTATTATTATTATTATTATTATTAATTCTCTTTTCTCACTTTTATCTCTTTCTCAATAAGAATGACAAAATGCAACCAGCCATTTTCAAATTTGACACTCCACTTTTATTTTTTTTATTATCATTATTGCCTTGCATGATTATAGTGAAAAATAAGAATTATTTCTCTTCATTACTGAGGATGAACAGCTGTATTCCAACTCAAGCAGTGACTATGGTCCAGGAGACAGTTTCTGGTCCAAGTATCATCCAGGCATACGCCCATCTGGTTTATCAACAGATGGCATCAGTGTCTTTGTAGACCCACACATTATCTCCACTCCACTCATCACAGACTTCAATGCTGATGGAACTGAAGAGGAACTTGTCATAGTGGCCAACTTCTATTTTGAAGAGAAAAGGTATGAACTGAAAATGTTTGTTACCAGACCTTGGCTACTTTTTAAAAAGGAGGTATGTTATGGTTTGTGCATCTGAATTATTTCCAAATCCAAGATTTTTTGTTGCTAGCTATGGCACACTCTCAGAAATTTCAATCAGCTTAGATTTTAAATGCTAATTTTTTTTTTTCAGAATTCATGGTATCACTGGTACTTCCCAAAATATATTGGCATGTGCTATATTGAGTTTTTATCATACTCGTAATCTCCATATCTACATGAACATGTACATGTTAGTGGTATAATTAAGTTACACTAAGTTTCTTATGCCAATTTTATTTCCTGCCCACAGCCAGTTAGCTCTATCAGGGCAAGGTTTGTCATCAGAGGATCTTCAAAATTACTTGGGAAGTGCCATCATAGTGTTCAACCTTCACACAAAACAGCTTGTGTTCTCATCAATTTTGCATGTGTCCAGGGTAGGTAACTCTTGATGTCTGTACAGTGTGTGACTAATTAATGATTATAGACGTTTACTTTACCTCCGAGTTAACATAACTATCTGCTACGTACCTCAAACTCCCAAGGGAAACAAAGAAATGGTCCTGTAGTTAGGAGGGGTTCAAGTTAGCTGATGGTAAGTGACTGAAAAAATGGGTCAAGATCTTGTATTTGAGTTACAGAGGAGTTCAAGTTAGCTGATGGTAAGTGACTGAAAAAATGGGTCAAGATCTTGTATTTAAGTTACAGAGGAGTTCAAGTTAACTGAGTTACAGCAGTTGCTGTACCAGGATTCTACTGTAATTCATTAGTGCAGCTGGGGTTTCATTAATGTTTTCAACAGGAGGGCAACTGGTTTTCACAGGTGGGCAAAACTTTTTGAACTAAACTTCTTTATAAGATAAACCTTCCTCCAGATTGTTAAACCAGGTGGGCAAAACCGTCCTTACAACCGGTCAATTTGGCTGGTGCCTGGCCCTTAATGAAACCCCTGAGTGCAGTAGGGCAAGATTTCCAACCTGTCTTCCTCAAGTGGGGGAGCAAATTAAAATTGTCAGTTCTCAGAAAGGTATGCATGTTGATATTAAACATTCAAAGATGAACCATCTTTTTTTATTATTCCACAATGTGTATATGGAATGATGTTTCAGTCTTGAGGATGAGATACAATGAATATATGAAGTTCATATATTTTCTGAACTGCGGTATTAGATACGTATGATGCACGATCCTCACAGTAGATAGCGCTATTTATGCAATAGCGAAAATCAGACCTGAAAAAAATCAGGCCTGTACGGGATTCGAACCACTGACCTCTGCGATACTAGTGCAGCGCTCTACCAATTGAGCTAACAAGCCAACTGGGAGCAGGCCGTTAAGTTGATTCGTAATAAACCCGTGAAAGTGATAAATGAGATACAATGAATATATGAAGTTCATATATTTTGAACTGCGGTATTAGATACGTATGATGCACGATCCTCGCAGTAGATAGCGCTATTTATGCAATAGCGAAAATCAGACCTGAAAAAAATCAGGCCTGTACGGGATTCGAACCACTGACCTCTGCGATACTAGTGCAGCGCTCTACCAATTGAGCTAACAAGCCAACTGGGAGCAGGCCGTTAAGTTGATTCGTAATAAACCCGTGNAGGCCTGATTTTTTTCAGGTCTGATTTTCGCTATTGCATAAATAGCGCTATCTACTGCGAGGATCGTGCATCATACGTATCTAATACCGCAGTTCAAAATATATGAACTTCATATATTCATTGTATCTCATTTATCACTTTCACGGGTTTATTACGAATCAACTTAACGGCCTGCTCCCAGTTGGCTTGTTAGCTCAATTGGTAGAGCGCTGCACTAGTATCGCAGAGGTCAGTGGTTCGAATCCCGTACAGGCCTGATTTTTTTCAGGTCTGATTTTCGCTATTGCATAAATAGCGCTATCTACTGCGAGGATCGTGC